GCCAAAGGGGTCGCGACCCACAGGTTGAGAACCGCTGCCTTGGAAGGTCAATAAGAGACTAGAAGCACTTTGTTGTGAAGACAGTAGAAGTGAGGTCGGAGCAGTTAGTTCTGGAATTACTAGGTGTGGAGTCTCACTATAACTTCCAAGTCCAAAGGTAAAGAGTTTATTGCCTCTTTCCTGCACCAAGTCCCAGGAATGATTTTTGTTATTCTGCCTATGTTTGCAAAAATGAAATATGACTTTAAAACCTTACTGGGCAATATTCTAAAAAGCTACAAAATGTGGAATTAAAAATCATATTCTATGACTAGGCCTGCTACTGAGATCTTTACAAAAGTGATGTGTGTTAGTCTCCCAAAGAATCTGATGAGGTGGGATGATTATTCTTGCTGTCTTACTGAGGAGGAAATTGAGGTGTAGAGTGACCCAGTTACTAGCCTATGATCCTCAGCACAGGAGTGATGGTGCTAGGACTGGACCCCAGCTCATCCCCTGCTTTCTAACTCTGCACTTTATATTGACTCCTTTTAAAAATCTGATGAGGTGGGATGATTATTCTTGCTGTCTTACCGAGGGGGAAATTGAGGTGTAGAGAGATCCAGTTACTAGCCTATGATCCTCAGCGCAGGAGGATGGTGCTAGGATTGGACCCCAGCTCATCCCCTGCTTTCTAACTCTGCACTTTATAGTGGCTCCTTTTAAGTGTGGCTTTTTGACTTTTCAAAACTATAAGTTAAGGGCTTTTTGCTTTGCTTGTTTCTCTTCTATGCTTTCATTTTTCAAATACTATGTAATGTTAAGGATTAGTTAGTCTTATGGCTGCTGTGGTTACAGGACTTTATGGCCCTCCCTGACCTAAAAGTCTCAGAAATCCGGCTTGGCCTCCTGCCCCTCAATTTTAGAGACAGAGAAGAAGTGGGCCAACACAAGGATGGCAAGTGACTCTGTTTTGGTTATTTGCCAGAATGGATGGCACTTACAGAGTCCCTGTGGCTCCGCAGAAACCAAAAGCTCACCCCTCCTTTTTTTAAAAAAAAAAATTTTTAAAATCGATTTTCAGACAGAGAGGAAAGAAGAGGGAAAGAGCGAGAATCATCCATGTGAGAGCCAAACATCAATCAATCAACTGCGTCCTGCATGCTTCCTACTGTGGATTGAGCCTGCAACCCGGGCATGTGCCCTGTCAGTGCATGGGATGACGCCCAACCAGCTGAGCCACACCAGCCAGGGCTCCTCTTTGCTTTCCTATATAATAAAAGGCCAGGGACCATAAGCATAATGACCAGAATGACCCCTTGACCAGTTGCCATGAGGTGCATTGACCACCTTTTGGTCCCTCCCCCTCCCAGCCCATGAGGGTGGCGGGCAGGGTGGCGAGCAGCAGCAAGCAGCAGCAAACTATTCACACACAATTTCGTGTGCTGGGCCTCTAGTAGTTACATAAGAAGTATGAAGATTTAGGGAATCGTTCCAGGATTAACTATTCAGATTAGGACTCTGGGATAGTTTTCCTGAAAATAAAAGAATTGTATCCCATTCTCCTAGTAGCTGCTTTCTTTTCATTTACATAAAATTGTTTTTGTCTTAATAACTATTCTCTTCAAACATGTCTTATTCATTCTCTATTTTTAGCCTTAGCAAAATTAGCCAGGAATCTTACTTAAAAGACAGTTTCTTAATCTACATCCCCAAGAACTTTGATTCTGACATTTTGAGTTGGGGTCCAGAGGTCTATTTTTAACAAACCCACTAGAATATTCTGGTGAAGAAAGACCACAGACCATACTGAGAGAATTAGCACTTTACCTGATTGGGTTTTATAAAGGAAATTAGACTTTTACAACTGAAAAACAGGCTTTGCTTAAATCAAAGAAGTTGTGTCTGGGCAGAGAAAGACAGCACAGTAAGGTTGAGCTAAGTGAGATAAGTTAAGTTGAAAATTGATATTTCAAATTCAGAATCATGATTTACTAATGTCTTTGTTCTATATGTAGAAATGAGCCAGAAACAGGCATTTAATCGAGAGGCAAAAAGCAGTATTTGTTGTATTCCCAGAGACAGTTAATGTGATCTTCATATTTCCTGTGGTATGAACCAAGTGGATCTAGGCTAGAGTATGCTTATCCTAACTCCTCATCTTTCCACAGCTTTCCAGTTTCAGAGTTGCTCACAATTAAAAGTGGATTACAGTACATTCCATATTCCTAGGAAAATAAAGTTTGAGAATCTTAAATCATACGATGTTTAGGGGGGAGCTATCAATTTTTCTTGATTGAAAACATGACCCATCTTTGCTGAAGGGAAATAGATTTGGAGGGTCATAGGTCTTTCCATTATGGTAGTTATAACTAGAGTTATCAATAAAATATCAATTTCCTCCAATTTTCTAATTTCAGAGGTAAAATGCAGCCTCCCAAAGTTTACCAATGGAATCTGGAAGGAGTTGGACATGAGGCAAGAATTTCGATTTGGAGAGACTGTAACCTTGGAGTGTAAAGATGGATATACTCTGGAAGGCAGTCCCTGGAGCCAGTGCCAGGCAGATAACACATGGGACCCTCCTCTGGCCACATGTACTAGTACATCTGGTAAGTGCAAGAGCAGGAAGAAGGAATGTAGGTCCTCCCCAGTCATGCACTGTTCATTCATTCATCCGTACTGTCATCGAATGTGGTGTGATTGTTACAGCATCGAACGTGGTAGTGCTAAGGAGTGCAAGAGGAGCTCCTAATTCTTCTCCAAAAGCCCTTCGCAAAGAGAGTCAAGCAAGCCTTGCTCTCTCCACAGTTCTCAACCCATTCATCTTTCCTTGGGGACCTCGCTGAACCTTTTTGGTCTGCATCACTCTATTGTTGCATGCATCCCACAGTAATGATTTAGTTATAGCCCAGGGCCTTAAAAGTCAAGCCTATCAGAGATAGAGCAGGCCTTCAAGAATTTCAGCATGAGTCAGGAAGCACCTTCCAAGTTGCTGAGACCAGCTGTTCCATCTCCCTCACTGCTGTAGGCTACAGAATTCTAAACTGGTAAAACTACATCAGCAGATTTAGAAATCAGGTGTCATTGAGCTGTATTGGCAACTAGATAGAAAATTCTAAAGCCTGAACTTGTACACATCAAGGAGCTGATGAGCAAAATTAACAATGAATAACTTTCCTTAATCTAAGTTAGTGCTAGGCCTCCCTCACCCATTCTTATGATTCTTATTTGTAGCAGTGATTACCAAGATTGTTCAAGATGTTTTTATAGTTAATCCCTTGAATTGCTAGTTAATCTGACTTATAAATGATATTTCCAAATTATAAACTTGTAACCTCCTGAATATCAAATTATTTTCACTTTGGCAAAAAGCTATCTGGCTGAATGAATGCCTTTACAGCAGTGGTTCTCAACCTTCCTAATGCCGTGACCCTTTAATACAGTTCCTCATGTTGTGGTGACCCCCAGCCATAAAATTATTTTCGTTGCTACTTCAGAACTGTAATTTTGCTACTGTTATGAATCGTAATGTAAATATCTGATATGCAGGATGTATTTTCATTATTACAAATTGAACATAATTAAAGCATAGTGATTATTCACAAAAACAATATGTAATTATATATGTGTTTTCCGATGGTCTTAGGCAACCCCTGTAAAAGGGTCGTTCGAAACCCAAAGGGGTCGCGAACCACAGGTTGAGAACCGCTGCTATAGAGGGTTCGAAGATGTGGCCATGAAAGACAGAAAATTCTCATAATGAAGGACTACCCTACCAGACATTAAAAGAAATATAAAGCCACAATACACAAATCACTTTAAAGTAACACAAAATTGACTCATTTTTATAAGTGAAACAGAATAGATATTAATAAAATAAAGGTTATTATAAATAAAAGTATCTTACAGATGAAATATAACAGAGATGGTAAAGATGATCAAATAACATAGGTAGATTGAAACAAATTTAGGACTTTTTATCTTACAAAAAGTACCAGATGTATTAGAGAGTTAAAGTTTTTAAACTCAATATAAAAGCTAACGTAAATTATATTTATTTATCAAACCTCTGGAAGAAGACTTAAATTCTTTGAACTTTGGATATGACAGAGAAAATCATTAAAGATCAACAAATTTGATCTTTACAGCTTATGTGCATATTTTGGAAAGTAAGAGAGCAGTAGACAGATGAGAAATATGGGACAAATATAATGAAGAGTTAATAGTATTATCATACCAGTAGCAGTAGTGATAGTTGTGGTGGTAAAAATTAACATATATTGATTGAGAGCTTAATTCCACTGTTCAAAGGTTAGGTAGGTAAAGAGATGCTATAAATATGTAAAAACCATGTATGGGGGGAACATGTTCTAGAAGGGAATGTACCAAAGCATTTCATGGTGGTAGAATTATGTGTGATATTTTTTTTTGGTTCTGTTTTATACGTTCTTTGCTGTAGTTATATTAATTTTATGATAAAATGGTAAGTTAAAAAGAAAGGAAACAGACCACTGAATACTGAAGATAAAATGAGATTGTCTCAGTAAAACCAATGGTTTTTTAAATTAGAACAAAATTGGACTGTGCAATGATAAAAATTAGGCCAAATTGTCATTGGCTGAGGGCTCCTGTTCAATCATGTTGAGTGCTTGACTGATGCATTTGTGACCTTTGTCTTCCTTTTAGGTCGACGTAATGCTCGCATTATTGGTAAGTTTTATAAAGGGTTTGCTGAGAAACTGCAGCATCTTTAACAGTAAGTATCCACTTATAATGAATGAAATGTAAAAAGAGAGGTCAAAATATCTTACATTGCGATTTCACTTAGAAAGGAGACAGTGATAAACTCAGGCCACGGTGTGGCGAAACTAGTATCCTCATCTGCCTATAGAGTGTTCTCCACCAAAGGCTCTGCACTGTCTTTGAACCATTAAAGATGACCAGTCCTTCATCTTATTTTATTGTAGCTGGAGAATACAACCTGGGAATATTCTTCAGGGCGGTAGTCATGCTGACTTGCCCAAACTGAAAGCCACAGAGACCACTAAGCCCGTTTCTGGGATCTGAGTATGGAAGAGGAATAGTGTTATGAGAGAGTCGGCTTCAGAGGGAATTGGCAGAGTTTGTTGCATAGAATAGCTCCTGTGCCTCACACAAGAGATGTGCAGGGCCTGAGAGGTGGAACCCAGGAGTCTCAGCGCTGTTCTCACATGTTGTTGAAAGGCTGCTGTTGGACTACAGGTTACAAAATGGCTCTGCTCACTCCTTACCCTTAACCCTATAGAAGTGACAGTAACGAGCTGGATTAAACAAGAAGCAGAGGGGAGATCTTTTTGTTATTGCTGTTAATCCTCACCAGAGGATATTTTTTCCCATTGATTTTTAAAGAGAAAGAGTTGGGGTAGGGGAGGAGACTCAGCCCAACCAGGGCAGGGATCGAACCTGCAACCCAGGTAGGTGCCCTTGACTAGGAATCAAACCCATGACCCTTTGGTACACGGGCTGAGCTCTAACCACTGAGAAATGCCAGCCAAAGGGGAAATCTTAAAGGTAAGCCTGTGTCGGTGTTTTTTAAACCAGAATTTAGTTACATTTTTAAAAAATCATTGGCAACCTCTAGAACAGTAGTTCTCAACCTTCTGGCCCTTTTAATACAGTTCCTCATGTTGTGACCCAACCATAAAATTATTTTCGTTGCTACTTCATCACTGTAATGGCTCTAACCACTGAGAAATGCCAGCCAAAGGGGAAATCTTCAAGGTAAGCCAGTGTTGGTGTTTTTTAAACCAGAATTTAGTTACATTTTTAAAAAATCATTGGCAACCTTTAGAGAGACTAGATATGAAGATAGAGATGAAAAGCTAAGGGTTGTATTTTGCATGCACTTAATTACCTTGTTTTTCTGCCTAGGCATATCCTCCAGTGTGGTCATCTTTATTATACCCATCATTGTTTCCTGTTGGATGATTCTAAAGCGCAAAAAACGGTCAGTCCAGCCATGGGCTTTGCAATCACTAAGACCTATGCTCATACTCACTCACTAGCTTTGCACCCTGGGCAAGGTACTTAGTCTCTCTAAAGTTCATTTTCCTTGCCAGAAAAATAAGATAATAGTCGTTCCTACCGCAACACATTGCCTCTCTCTTATAATGAATGTCACAAAATGTTAGCTTTGTTATTTATACATGACTATTCTTACTGATATTTAAAAGTAATTCAATACTTCTTTTACTATCAGTTCTTATGTACCTTCATGACAACTGCTACTTTCCATACTATAGGTATTGTACAAAATACAGAACGTATATCTTCACTATGGGGGTGAAAGGAAGCCTTGTGTAAGATTGCAGTGCAAAGCCATTTAAATGTCACAATCCTGTTGTAACAGTATTTACTAATCAATATAACTTTGGAATAGAGAAATGTGTTGTCCTAAGGCATGGGCACTTGGCTATAAGCAGGTTAGAGTTCCGACACAACCTATAGAATGGTTTTAGTATTATTTTCTAATCCAAGTTTTTACTCAGTTTTGAAAAGTGTGACTTGGTTACATTTTTCTTTTTAGATGCCTTACAAAGATATCGGAAACCTGAGACAAATTATGCCCTAAATGTCCAAATGAAAGTTATTGATTACCTCCTTTCAAAACAAAAATGTATAAAATTTAGTTATTTTTCTCATCTTTTTCTCCCCTGCCAATTAGCAGTAATACAGATGCAAAATCTAAGGAAGTCAATATCCATTTACATCCCCAAGAAGGGAGCTGTGATCATGCGCAAAGTCTGCAAACAAGTGAGGAACATAGCAGGTACCGAACACAAATTGAAATCAAAATGCTTTCAACAACCCAAGTATCGAAATGGAAACAGGATTTAAATGTGCTATTGTACCTGGTAGATCACTAATACCAAAGGCGTTGGAAAGTACTTCAGGAGCTGGATACACTGCTGGTGGTGTCTTTCTTGGATAATTGTTTCCAGTGACTTGGGGTGAGGACCCTGGCAGTGCTGTGCACAGGCACTGTTTTCCTAAGCATTCCTGTATTATTGTGTGTTTGTTATCGGTGGAAGTGGTGTTCTTGGGGTGCCCTGGGGGAAAGAATTTTATTGAGGAGGTAAAGTTAAGGGGGTTCCCTTCCAAGACCCCATCTATGCCAGTCCCACCATGGGAGAAGTCCGAGCTTACCTTCAGCAGGGCTAGAATTAGGGATGCCAGTCTCCACCCCATAGTAAAGCACAGGCCAGTCCAGCATCCGCATGTGGGGTCCACATGGCCATGGGCCACGCGGCTTCTAGGACCACATGGCTATGGAGACAGAACAGGCGAGCGCACGGGGCAGGTGCAGGCCCTGAAGCGAGAGTGCCAGAGTACCAGACCAGAACAAGAGAGAGGGAACTCTTTGTCCTGGGATCATGTATTCCCAAATTTTCCTGAGTTTGCATTGTGTCTACCCCCCTAGCCAATCCATTGTTCCTCAAGCTAGACTGACAGGCAAGCACCTTTTCTACATCACCCTGACTGCACTGTGTATGCGCCCATCTCCCCCTGTGTTCAACTCCTTCCTCTCAGCATGTACCCTGACTGGGAATCGAACAGGTAACCTCTTGGTACCTGGGAGCTGTCAGAAAACTTACAAAGATATCAAAACCTAAGACAAAGTGATGCCCCAAATTTCAAAATGAAAGCTACTGACTACCTCCTTTCAAAACTAAAATGTATATAATTAAGCTATTTTTCTCATCTTTTTCTCCCCTGCCAATTAGCACTAATACCTGGCTGGGCAGGGGAGACGCATTTGTTTTCCTCTATTATCAGGGGACTTCGATGGAAAAATTATGCAAAACTGATTCATAGCCAGCCATGCTACCACCAAATATAAACAGACTAAATAACCAGACCATGAGGGCAATACTCGTCTTTATAAAAATTTTATTTAAAAATGTTCCAGAAGACTGCTTAAAATATCATTTGATTTACCCTATTCCTGCCAGGTGACCTGCCTAAAACACTTTGCCACCTTCCTTCCAATCTAAGTTGCATGAACCCAGCTCAGAATTCACTGACCCAACAAGCTCCCCCAGATTCCCAGATAACTCTAGTCCAAAGTGATGTCTCGCTTTAGAACTCAAAGCACTTCCTGTCTATTCCAATTTTTAAAATAAATTATTTTCTTTCGAGGATAATATATACTCATTGAAAACAGAAAATACCCAGAAACATAAAAATAATAAAAATCACTTGTAATAACCCACCCAGTGGTGGTTAGTATTATTAAGCTACTTTGCATATTATTTTACATTTGCAAGGTTATACTTTGAGATTATGTTGATGTGATTTTGGTTTCACAAATGACAACTGTTAGATTTAATGTAAGGTTTAATCTGAGATGTAAGATTTAATCTGACCAAAGCCAATAGATTGACCAAGACAAGCAGGGTAAGAGCGAAATATGGCATTTATTGGAAGCTCTCGGGTGAGGTCCCACGGTCTGGGGGTGCAGGCTGGGGGAGTCACACCCACCTATGCCTGGCAGAGATTTTTTATGCTGCTGTTGGACCAATCAGGTTTATCTGAGGTAGCTGGTGGCGGGTGATTGATGAGCGGGAAGTTGGTGCAGCTGCACCCTGGCCATCTTGAGAAGTCTTCAGTGGTTATTTATTGGCCATCAGCACAACAGGATGGCAGCTATTGTCCAGCAGGATGTGGCTCGGCAGTTCTGGGTTGTTTTGTCCAACTCAGCTGGTGGGATCAGGAAAGACCCTATTTTCCCAGCCCCAGACCTTACAGCAACCATTCTTCTCATTGTTAAAAACTGTATATAAATTCATCATATAGTATTTGGCTTTTCATTTGTCGTTTTTTACCTATCAACTCTATTGCATTCTTTCACTCACTCATTCATTGATTCTACAAATTTTGATTAGTCACAGATCATTGTAACAGGACAATCAATGAGTCCGGGTTGCCTGTCACTACTTGAGCCATTTCAGCAGACAGGGTTGAGTCATATAAGAGCATTTATTCCAATACTGCCGGCAGTGTGGGAGAGCAGCAGGTCATCCATAAAAATCTGCTCTGCTCCCCCTCCCCCACCGTAAGCCAGCTGCTTATATTGGGTAGATGGACAAAGATTACATGGGGAAGAAGGCAAAAGGGATAAGAATAGGTATGCAAAATGGGCAGTTTAAAGGTAATGCAGGCTGGGGTTTGCAAAGGCCTGGGGGTGCCTCTGGTTTCTGCAACAAGGTTGTTAACCTTTCAATGATAATAGGCAGCCCCTGGATGTGGAGGAAGGACCACATTTCCAGGTGAGCTCCCAGGTCCCACATGCAACTCCCATCCAGGCTGAAATGTGCTTTCTTTAATCAGAACAAAACAATCATAGTGAACAGAGCATGATTAATATTTCTTATCATTATAGCTGGTCCCCAATATTCTTTGTCGCCCGTAACCTTAATGTACGACACATTGTGCTTGTGTGTTTTCTCTCCCAGGCTAAATTAACCTACGCATTCATAAGGACCATCGAGTAAAATTGTCCAAATTTCTGAGTATAGACTTAATCAAATGAGAAGTGGTCAGTAAATATTTGAGAATCAATTTACCTAAATGTTATTTATCCTCAACTTTTTGGAGACATTCTTTTACATCAAGGTGCATCTTAAGTTGTGTTTATTAACTGTTGGCTGCTTTTTTATAAAAAGCTAGAAACTCCTTAATAAAGTAATGTCAAATTTTCATTTGTAAGATTGGAATTCTGACCACAGGTGTTCTACAGGAGAAGGTTAATCGTTTGTAGACAAGGAGTGAGCTAGAATCTGTGCCAAGCTGAAAAGCTGTGCACTCAGGTCAGGTACAGGGTCAGAGAGGATACATACAAGGAGGCAGACAGACTCCAAAGACACAGCCACGTGTTGGAACGCATGAGAACGCTCAATGATGATGCAGCTAACATGATGTCGGGAACACTTGTGAACTAGAAAGGGGACAGTGATGAAGGGTCAGGTGGCAAGAATTACTGGGAGTGTCAGGTGAGCTGAGGGGAGTCTGTCCATTTGTGACAACACAGTGTTCCCGGCCTTAAGAAAGAGTGGCGGAGGGAGCATTTGGGCACCTTAAACTATGCAATACCTCCTTTCAATCTTGACTGTGACAAGGACAGGAGGACAGTCTATCTGAAACTGCCCCTCGTCCAAACTAGCAGATTCTGTTTCCTTCCCCCTGCCATAACCATGGTTCAGAAAAGAGACTAAAGGAAAGGTATTGTGTGTTACAATGGACCTGTAGGTTTTCTGGAATAGGCTCTTTTTTTTAGTTTCTCAACTCTGAGGACACTTTTCCTTTTACAAAAAGAAATGGGGAATGGTCAAGTTATTGTTCATCTATTATCTACTAAGTATCTCAGTGTATGCCATACTGTCTTGTGTCCTACATAGCTACCAAAACAGAGGGCAATAAACACTTCTTTTAAATGTGTAAGATATACGTGATGTCAGTATCATGATTAGCAGCATAGAAATTTGTTGACTCTGCTGTCATTTAAATAAGAATTCCTTTTATTTCAGTGTCCTTCCTTGACAACATACTATAAAGCTGAAGAACATCTCAGATGAAAATGCTCGTCGGAAAGGAGCCAATTCATTTCAACAGAATAAGATCTGAGACTCATAAAGTCCTTGAAGTGACCTCACAGAGCGGCCAGCATGTGCACTTGGAGATGCTGGAGCTCTCCCAGTTCCCGAGGAAGCTCCCTCCTCGGAGTGCGGATGCTGTCACTCCATCTTCCTTCTTTGTGCTGAAATGAAAGAACACCCTGTCTAGCCAGGGGAAGGACTGCACTTAGGGCTTAGAAGTACCAGTAATCTCAGTTACTTAAAAGAAGAAGTTGTCACCTAGGATTTCTGTCTATAAGTTTGTCATTTGTCTTTCATATTTTTAATTATTCATATAGGTGATCTTGAACAATGTGGGGGTTAAGTGGTGCCATCTGAATGAAAATGCTGTTTCTGATTGGCCATTTGCTAAATACTGCATGCAACATCCCAGGATACAGAGGGGCAACTGTATAGTTACTGAAAAATATTCAAGTGCAGTTATTGAAAAATATTCACCCATGCAGTTCAGACTCTTGTTGTTCAAGTGTTAACTGTAATATGGAATGGGCTCAAAAAAGAGAATTTGGAAAATGCAGGAGGAAGATATGAAAAACAAGTAAGTCACATATAATTATACTGCCCAGGGATAACGACTGCTAATGTTTTAATTCACTTTCTGCTCATTTTTCTTCATATATATGGGTCTTTATACACACATATGTCTTTCTTTCTTAAATACCTTCTTTTTTGTTTGTTGAGCAGAATCCATTCCTTTTAGACAGATTGGAGTAAAAGATATGTATGTTTTCACTTTCTCAAAAAAAGATATGTAATTTCTGTTTCTTAAAAAGTCATTAGATGATTATAGGAAAGATGGCTTAAGAATACGCAAGAGAAATATTTGGGGGGGGGGATAAGCTTTGTATATTTCCTAAGCTCTATTTCAAAAGTACTTTGTACTATGCTCTGTTTAAAAAACATACTGAATTTTAAATAAAGGTAACATTTTTCTATAAAAGTAACTAGTTTACTTTTGAATGGATTCAGCATACACTAAATTTACTAAGAAACATGACTTTTAAGAATTTATCAAACTAATAACATGTATTGACACATTCTCAACAAGTAGCCCTAGAGTCTCTAAAAAATCCAAATCCTTATTATAGATGAAAAAGTCATTTGGGGTGATATTATGGGCCATCCTAGACAATATCAGAATCTTACTGGATATTTAATAATAGATTTGTGTATGACAACTGCTAACTTCTGTGTAATTCTGGTTTTAATAGTTGTTTTTGAAGTATATTATGATATTTATATTGATAAATATCACTAGTGAACTGGACCTCAACTAGAAGTTTAATTTAAAATCATGCAAGAGAAAAAAACACACAGCAGAACCAAAAAGTCAACTGACAAAGTAGGACAATAAATTGCAACATATCACAGGCAAAGGGTAACGGGCTTAATTGAGAGTTAGTAATTCAAAGACCAATTCTCCCCTACCTCTCTCTAAAAGGGCAAGAGATATTTATCCAGATCTCTCTCTCCCTCTCCCTTTCCTTCTCTCTCTCTCTCTCTCTCTCTCTTTCTCTCTCTCTCTCTC